TATATATATATAAATTAGAGTGTTCTATGGGAATTAAGAGGAGGCACACCTAACCTAATTCTCGGGGTTTTCAGATTGGTCCTGAGAGAAAATGATGAGAGTGGGGGGAGAAGATTGCATCTTTAATACACTCATGAGTTAAAGCTGGACTCAGTCTTCAGGAGTACTAGTAGAAAATAAAATTAAATATTTCATGGTGAAAGGTGAGGGGTTTTTCATGTAGTAAGTGGCCTCATTAATATATATGGGGCTTTCTTTAAGTTACACTGTGGCTTTTTAAAACTCTCAAATTTTTGACTCATTTTACATGCCCTTCATGATTTTCTGTATTATTTATGTTGTTTTGATTCAGGTAACCAACCTAATGGAGTAGTCTATATACAGGAAATCTGTTCTTGTTGTAGAGGTAAAAAGAACCACAGTGAAGACATATGATACCTCTTAATGCTTCTGCTCAGACATATTATTGTCATAGTTCATTGGCAAAATCAAATCTCATGGCTAAGCTTGCTGCAATGAGGTGAGAATTGTACTTCTCCCACAATGAGGGACATGTAGTGATGGAGCCTAGCAGAGGAACAAATTATACTTCTATCATAAAATAATTCTATCATATAGTAATTTTGCTTTTTTTGTGAAATGAGAAACTACTGAAAGACTTTTATCAGAAAAACAGAAGGATATGACTTTTTACAGGATTACTTTGGTTCTTGTATTGCAAAATTAAGGAAGAGCAAGGAGGATAGAAGCTCTAATTTTAGCATAGTAGTTCCTTCTTAATGTTCTTGTGAAAAGAGGTGTCATTTTTCAAATTAAGTTGAATGGAAATGAAGTCAGATAGGCTCCTTTAAAAATACTTCCGAAATCAAACCCTATATCAAGATTAAAAGGAATTATAGCATAGTGGTTAAGAGCATGTGATGTAAATTTATAGTAACTGACTTTTTCTGATACTTACCAGACTCAAGACCTTGGGCAAGTTACTTAATCCCTTTCTACCTTGTATCTTCATCTGTAAGTAGACATAATAATGTTACCTATTCCATAATGTTGTGAAGATTCAATGTGTTAAAATTTGAAACATAACAGGATTTGATATATAGTTAGTAATTTATTTATATCTGTTGTACATTGATTTTTCTTTTTTTTTTCTTAAATTCTTTTATTGGCACATTTTAGGTATACAATACATTTACATTTATCTTTGGGTGCTTGTACTTGTACATGATGTATCTTGGTTCTTATTTTTTCCCCATTACCTGTGTGCCCTTCACCCCTAAACCCTTCCCTATTTACATCCTTTGTTTCCATTTTTTTGTCTTTTCTCATAATTTTTCCTTTCCATTCTTTCCTTTCCCCTTCCCCTCCCAACACCCCTACCCCTTTGGACCTTTTCCTATTTCAAAGTATCAATTATTAGTTATTAATCCTTTTAGTGCTTATTTACACTCTCAGTTGTACGTTGATTTTTCTAGGAATGTGACCATGAAGTAGATTTTTCTGAAAAATTTTATTGGGGAGCAGTTTTAGATTCAACACCTATGGGGAAACAAAGGAAGCAGAAATGTGTAGAAGGAGAAGTTGAAAAGCAGTGTCATCACAACAAATAGTTTAGTCAATTTTACAGGGAGCTCAGGTTAATGTGCTCCTGCAGAGCTGTATGAAATTAGAAAAAGGGCCCAAACTTTTATACCTCTCTACTGACCAATCATTGGATGCAGACTGCCTCTTGGAAAGGGGCCATGACTTTGGGAAAGTCAATTCTTTTCAGCCAAGAGTAATCCATGAAAAAGAGGCTCAGATATAAACACAACAATTTTCTTTTTTTTGTTAAATTCTTTTTATTGGTACATTGTAGGTATACAACACAATTACATTTCTCATTGGGAATTGTACCTTTACATAATGCATCTTGGCTCTTATTTTTTCCCCATT